AGGTAGGGTGCTCACCGCTCCTGACCCTCCAGCCATTGACACGGTGATGCTCATGTTGTTATACACGCCTTGCTGCCCAAAGCTCTGAGAGACAGGCTGGCCTGCCTGGTTATACATACTGACACAAAACAAGAAGAAATGGTTTAAATGAAGATTAATACACATAAAAACAAATTGCATACAGTTTTGTGACCTTTTGGTGATTGATATCAAACACCATACCTGTTGTTGCCCATGGCCCCTTGCTGCCAGTTCTTTATGTCAGGTGACTGATAACCAGGTGGAGGCTGCGCTTGCTGGAGCACAGGACTCTGGGAGGTGGAGTTCTGAGGTGAAAGCAGGGGGCTGGTCGGACTTAGCTCAGGAGCGAAGGATGGATCTGCTGTCATCACATGTGGTTGCCGCAAGTCCACCGGACGCTCCTTCGTCGAATCCGCGCCGTTCTCAAGCCCACCCGCCACTGCTCACTCTAGCCACCGGCCTCCGCTTACTCTAGCCGCCGGCCTCCGCTCACTCTAGTCGCCGGCCTCCGCTCACTCTAGTCGCCGGCCTCCGCTCACTCTAGCCTGCCCACCTCCGCTCACTACAGTATGGTAAGGGGCATAACAGTTCCGTCACATGCTTGAGGTATTCGGCCAATCACAACGCACTGGATATCTGGCCAATCACAGCACACCTCGCTTTTCAGACCGATGAGCTTTGTAAAAAGCGTTTCAGAAAGGCGGGGCATAGAGGAGAAACAATAATGTACAGTATGTGGAAAATAATGTGTTTTTTTAACTTTTAAACTGCATAAACACATTTCATTATACCAAATACACAAAATAATGTTCTTTTTAGCAACATAATATGACCCCTTTAAACAAACAAACAGAATGGTTGTATTGTCAGCATATTAAAAAAAATTATGAACCATACCAAAACGAATCAAATCAAAATGAATTGTGACCAAGATTCAAATCCGAGATAAACAATCCTAATCAAATCAAACCATTGTCAGAGCAAATGCTTACACCCCTATAAATGACATTCAGGATTTGTCTCGATGCATGTGACGCTAACCTGAGAGGGCATCTGAGGCTGCTGCATGCCCTGACGCATCCCCATGGCAACATGCCCCCCTTGTGGGAACTGGCCCATGGCCGCAAGCCTGTTCTGGAGCTGATGGAGAGAGGAGATATATCACTACTAAACAAGTGCAACTAATCACACGTTCGCTCAGCAGCTGCACTCGACAAAAGAATAGGTTAGTTCCACAGAATGTTATTCGAAAGGCTGAAATCAAAAGTATTCAATGGATCTGGTACACAGCGCAAGAAAATCCAAAAGCGGGATTGAGAAGTTGTGCATTCACATTTATTATTACACAATGAAGTGAAAGCTGAAGCTCTACCTGCTGCGGGCCTTGCAAACGTTGTTGGAGCTGGAGTCTCAGCTGGTTGGGAGGTAGCCGCAGCTGGTTGGGCACACCAGGAGCTCGATTCAAGCCGGGCCGCACCGTCATGCCCACGTTGCCTGGAAACGCCATCCGTGGGGCCCCGAAACTCATGACCTGTGCAGTGCCCATCTCAGCCGGA